AGAGAAGGTCTCCGTAATGGACGTTTCTAGGGGCAACTGACTGGTATTTACGTTAAACGTGCGGAAAACAACAAATGCAAATAATACAGCGAATCTGTTCTACTCAGATGGAATCCAGTTTGAACTAATAGTATTTAGAGGTCATTAACGACTGACCCATTGGCGGGACATAGCAGAAGGTAGAAAGTGACGCTTCAGGAGAACGCTTAGACTCGATGTCTTACCGCTGTCGAAACATTGCAAATAACTCAGAGTTCGAAAGAATTTTGACATAAAATAGAATAATTTCAAATCTATTGCAGTTTTGTTAGTTTGCTAAAGAAATTTCATAGCAGTCAGCTAGTGCCCATAATGACAAATAGGATCTGATCGAACAAGTGAGGAGAAAATGATGCATAAACGTTTAACATATTCGTCAAATGATTATACAATGCGTTAATGGGAAGTTGACTTCGATGTAACATCGAACATAGCACTTAAGTTCGTGATGAGTCTAACATCCTTTAAGGACAATGCAAACACAACACACATGCCTTACGAGGGGGTTGAATCTGGCTTTTGAGAATTCGGACTAGCAGTTAACCTCTACCAACTATGGTACTGTTTCCAAAATGGCAAATGTAACCTTGTAGAGACATTAGGATTTTTTGGAAGCCAGAGAGATGAAAAATATGCAACCGCCTTCGCCGGGAATCGAACCACGGACCTCTGGAATACCGGCTCAGTGTGCTGACCACTACACCACAAAGGCTCGCTAGGAAGTGGTAGAAATACCTTATATACTCCCCTTTTTAAAGGGCGACTAGGGTTTTAGGGGACCTAGTCGCTAAATCCTGGGTGCGGAGAATCATCATCCACAACCCTTTTAGTTCGGGCGCCACTTGTAGAGTCATTAGGATTTTTTTGGAAGCCAGAGAGATGAAAAATATGCAACCGCCTTCGCCGGGAATCGAACCACGGACTTCTGGAATACCGGCTCAGTGTGCTAACCACTACACCACAAAGGCTCGCTAGGAAGGGGTAGAAATACCTTATAACCTGAGCAAAGAACATGTACATCAAATTTTGTTTTTGCAATGGAAATTCTGCTACAAAGCGTTTGAAATGTAGTAAGAAGCCTTTCAAGACAGTACTTTATGAAATGCGAGAATGTTTGAATGGTATAAGGTATTTAAAAAAGGCAAAAAATGCGTGAAATAAATCACATTGTAGTGGACCATTCACTTCAACCTAATGAGCCATACATCGATTAGAAATATGATGCTTGGCGATCGTCCGTCAACTATTAGAAATATTACAGAATAAGTTCATATATCATTTGGAGCCACAAATCAGTTTTCAAAATAAAGAACTTCATAAGAACTTTTTCTTATTTCCTTGGTTGAAATTGCTGCTTCGTAATCATAGTTTATAAGTCTATTGATGGAATAAATGAAAACAGCCGCGAATTCTGAAGGAGTATTACTTTGAAGAAGATGTAATAAATATTGAACAATAAACTGAAACTCCTATTTCATGGAATCATCCTCAATTTTTTTATCCTAACAGTACGTAAATTCTGAATTTATTTTCGTCACTTTTCTTTCGCTTATGCAATCACACTTTATCATCTGGTTATCAGCTTATTTAAAATATAAATGTTCAAAAATAATCTCAGCCTTTAAAAGTATACTTCTGTACATTCATTTTGGCGGATTACTAGCATTCTCTTCTTTATATTCTTCTTTCTGAATCCTGATATTCTTCTTCTTTCTGAATACGTGCCGGACACTGGTCGAGTGGAAAGACCATTTCAGCGTAGGTAATTCTTCTCGAGTTCTGTTCAAGAGAACTGAACAGTCTGTTTGCTTGAAGTTTCCCTGATTTTACTCTGTGTAATGGAAATACTGTAGCTACATTTTTCTTTCGTTTAAAAAGTCTTCAAGAGAAGTATTCTTCTGAAGCAGATAATCCCTGAATGGTTAGTTGCACTCTAATGTTGCTTATGTTACACCAAAAATGACTTCCCATATCGCAATATTCTCTAACTCATCAATAATGCCATATTTTAAAAATCATTTATTAAAGAAATCGTGGAATAAATTTATGAAGATTATGAGGTTTTTCTCAGCAGGAAACTTGAAAGTGGAGTCGAGGATGCGATTATAAAATTACTGCATATTATAATTGTAACATTCCCCAAATAATGTGAAAGGAATCCATCGAATCTTAAAGGAGCTTCGAAAATTAGTGCTTTTGAATATCTGCTACATAGAAAATGAATTGAATCCAGAACCATGACTGCATTTGAACCTGTTATTTGTTTTAGAAAAATAAGTACATTCTTAAAAGGAAGGTAAAGCGCTGAATGCCAGAAAACTAATTACAAGTTTGAAGCCACGTATCCAAAATATAAAAAAAAAATGCATACAGTATCTAAATCTCGTTTTATGCACACTGAATACTTACGCAGTGATGCCAAACGCTGAGTTCCACTGACAAAAGAACTGAATTTCCCTAGAATGCGATGGATAATAATTTTTGTGCATTTATCATCCGAAATTTAGAATTTCCTCTACCGTGATAAATGTCAGGATTCGAAGATTTTTCATAGTGATGATCCAGTTGTATGCAGTGATTTTCTTTGATGGTTAGCTACTATCGCTCACGGAATAGCTAACCTGCTACCCATTTTCCTCATTAAGAAAGAAAGATTTAAAATATTAGAACTGCCAATTTAACAAGAATTCCTGCTTCAGTCTGTAAAGATTGTGTTTCGAATTTAACTAAATTTTTAAGTCAACTTCTCATTTCAGGTTTTTTCATTTTCTACGCTATGTTTTTTCACTTTGGAATTACACTAATGAAACTAAGAGGATGTACGAAAGTGGAAACCTATAAAAATCTAACAGGTCTTAGTTGCTTCATAGCGAACCATTAATAGCAAATATGCTGTGAAAAACTAAGTATGGCCTTAAACAAGGTTCTATAATAAAATGACAGACACATCTGTAGTGATTTTAAATAAATTTCTAAGAAATGAACTTTGCAAAATCTTGGAGATTGTAAATCCAATAAATAGCACTTCAAATTAGTGTTCTTAAAGCAAAATATTATTATAATTTTTTAATGATTATGTACATAAAAAATCATTCATCCGTAAGCTGCAAAATAATTGTTTGTTTACAATTATTTCTAATTTCATAATTAGAAGTTGAAAATAAGCAGTTTAATTATTGTTCCCTTGTTCATATGTTCATTTAGCAAATTGATATAAATGATTGTGATGTTAATAATTGGCTAAAATACTTTCAAATAAACATCAGTTTACAGTTATATATATGTAGAGTTAATAATTAGACCTTTTGAGAAAGTCGGTTTTGGTTTTTAAACAATCGAAAATTAATATTACTTCTGTTATTGCGTGTGTGTAATTATGGCAAAGCCTCGAGGGCTATCTCGCCTAAGAGGAGGGATGCCTTCGTGGAGGACTTTCTAAGGGAAACTGGCTCGTATACACGTTACACATGGGGAAAACCACGAAAACGCCCATGCAGCCAGCCCGTTCGCGGGATTCGAACCTCGGACCGAACTACCAGTGTTCAGCGACTTTACCGCTCGGCCGCTGGTGGGCCCCTTCTGTTATTGCAATGAAACTCTTGTTATTCAGCGTTACAATAGACTGTTACCCATATTTATTACCAGTGCAATAAAGTTCTGTTGTTGTTATAAAATAAAGCAGAAATATTATTTAATGTTTAACACAAGCTCTTAAAAGCGAAATAAATACTTATATTACTAAGCTTTTCTTATCTGATCATGGCAAAGCAAGCGACGGCTCTTTAAATTGCTAAGAAGGGAATTTACTGCTTTTAAATTGCTCTTTCTTAAACAATTAAGGATCAATTAGACTTTAAAATAAAATAAAAATCTTTTGTTCTGCTAAATGGCAGCATAGTGAGAAATTATTATGCGCAAGGCCACGTGGGAAAAAAATGAGTACTTTGTGCAATGGCAGTACTTGTTATGGCACGCAGATGATAAATAGTATGGTATTCGAATAGAAAGTAGCAATCCGCAGGATTTGGAGAGCTGTTGCTGTATCATATCAGATAACAATAAATTTAATGCTTAAATCTATACCTGTAGTACATGGATATTGGCAAAGAACGCCTAGGGAATGAAAGGATATTGCATCAAAATTATTAAATTCCTGAAAGCATTCAAGAGTTAAAATGTATTAGTTTAGAATAAGTTTTGTGTATGTTGTGTAAAGCTATGAACGAAAAATGCTCAATACTTGGGCAAAGAGGGATGAAAAAATCCATCTCACTTTGCTAAAAGGCTTCTAAACTACCCAAAGCTACATAATAATTTTGGGTTTTGGTTTACAACTATGCCTTTGTATTACAGAAATATGCCAAGAACATTGCGTACGATAATTAGATTTATGATTTTTCTCATATACATAAAAGACTGTTGCTCCTATTATTCCATAATTCAGCAAACTTGAAGTAGTTAGAATATAGTGTCGATAGCTATTTTAAGACAAATAATGAAGCAAATGTCGGTTTCGACTATTTCATAACATTTCGACATTTGAATCATTTCCGTATATTTAGACCTTTTTCGAGTGGTGTGTTTTTATATTCTGAACGTTTATTGTCATTGACCTTTGTAGACTCGTAACGACCTTTAGGTTATTAAAATAAATCATTAGAAACCTGTTGGATGGAGTGTTATGTATAATATCTCGTTATACCAAAAAAAAGATGAAAAAAAGAAAAAGGAAGTGTTTTACCGAATTTTTAATCCCAGTCACGCTAGATTTTTGATGAGAAGCTAACGAAAGCGACAACGGCTAGCGGAATCGTAGGTAGCGAAAGGGGGGAGGGACTAGTAGCCTATTCTGGTGTGCACCCATGCTATAGCGGAAAGAATCTTGATGACATGATCTTATCTGTCCCATCCGTCCACTCCGCATTTTGAAGGTCTTTACCTCTGACCTCTTACCTTAAGTATTTAAAGCTGAGCCCATTGCATATTCGTAATTAAAGCATTTCCTAAACTTGGACCGTTTGTATCTTCGGATTTTCCATATTACTCTCCTTTCCTGTGCTTCACACGTTTTCTTCGTTTCTTCTGTTTGTCCAAAAATCCCAGTCATGGATGATAGATCCTGAACTTCGATCGGTTTCTGCACCACAGCTGTAGCCATGAATGTGAGTATTCATTTATTTTTTCTTATTATGAAAGTATTAGAGATGAAATTCCCTTGTATACAGTGAATGTTTTCTTTGGAAACACTTTTAAGAGTATATAATTCTCAATAGATTTCCCGTATCAAGACCGTCGTAAGTGCAGTCAGCTAACATATAGATCTATAGTAGCATCAACTATAGTTTTTCTAATACAACAAATTTTAGTCCTTGTTGAAAACTCAGAATTAAACTTGGAATCAGTTATGGGTATTTAGTTTAATACCAGGGATTGATATATTAAAATTTGTGATGTAATTTGTTCTTTGAATATTAAGAAGCAATAGTATGCTACATAACAAACGCACAAGATGAGTATTTACTACGAGTTTCTCAAAAATACCTGTATCTATTTATAGTGTATGCTTGGGGTACTATGTACTTAGATTACAATAGAAATTCTGTTTTGCGCTTATGCATGTAAAGTGTAGGCATAATATATGTGTTTTTTTAATTAATTTTCTGCGATGCCCATGTACAGTATAAAAAACTTCTTTCAATGATTAGACAGCCTAATTTCAGGAAAGAGACTTTACAAGTGACACCCGAAATAAAAGGTGGTGGACAAATATTCGTCACCATCAGGATCTGACGTTTGGTTCCCCTAATCCCCAGTCGTCCTTTAAAAGATTTTTTCTTTCCTTTTCGTATGCCTTCGTGGTGTAACTGAAAGCACGCTCGAGGCCTATTCGGGAGGTCCAAATCCAGTACATGACCTCTAAAAGAGAATTTTTCTGTACTGAAGCCATAAAAAAATGTAAATGTTGTATTTCTTTAAATTGAATTTCTTGAAAATTTTAAATGATTTCATAAAACTCTGTGTCCTTTTTACGTAACTTTGTAATTTATATTATATGTCTATGATCATGTTTAAGAAATAAGAGACGAGGTCAATATTTTTGGGACACACTGTATATATTTCAAATGGAAAATTTTCGTTGCATTAATTTTCATCATATTAATTGTTAAAAACAACAAAAATTTGGCGAATTTGTATTAAAGCTACTTTCATAAATTTATGCTTAAATAAGTTGGTTATTATTATTATTAAAAATTAAAATAAATCTTGTTAATAGTGGATGCGGGACAAAACCATGATAAAGACCAAATGTCTCCATTCATCGTCGTTAGAATTGAATTGTTCGAATAAGCCTTTTATAGCCATTAGCCATATTTTATATTAGCAGTGGCAACTCTAGCGGAAAGAAAAACAAATTAAAAATGTATTCAAAATGCTTTCATGCAATATAGATTGCATGCAATTATTGGTCCCTTAAATCTTAAAATATCGAAATAAACTTTTTGATTTATATTTATTACTAGATATCTTCCCAGAACAGTTTTAAATATTTTATTTCCTAAATTCGATTATTATTTAAATACTCTTTCTCTTGCTTTTGTTTAGTGTTAATCATGCTCAGCAAAAAAAGGGATAATGTGGCATTTTTGCTAGTATTAAATGATTTATGGATTATTATTTGTATACATTTATTGTTTGTATACATTTTTACTGATATCCTCGGGTTTCTGTTGTAAGGATCTTAAGTTTTACTAACGTTTATTTTATTTTAAATCTTTACTATCACTTCTTATTTTCTACTTCCGGCCAGAATTATAAGCGTTAAGGTTTTTATGCAAAGTTTGTCTGGCGAACGCCAAGTATTTAAGTTGTGGCTTTTTGCCAAGCGAGAGAGAGGAAGCAGTGAGTCGAAGCAGGCCGCTTACCTTAGAAGTTTTACGCAGTTGCTTGTTGCCTTCCAGGCCAGAGGTTTTAATCCTCTTGATAAATTTTAAACGTATTGTAGTGTTCACAGTTCTCTGTACTACATACGCTTCCTGTTAATATAAGGCCAATCTTCCACGTTTATTATTCTAAAGTTAAATTAGAGTTTAGTTTTATTTTTATACTTTTACGTTTTGACCCCAAGTAGCGGGTCGGTGTATTCCGAAGTACGGAAGTCATTGTAAATAGAGAAAAATAAAGGGTTTTGTATACCCTTCTTGTGTATCCTGTCTACTTCCCACAGTTTTGAACATAGCTTTAGTAAGCTCTCTGTACCGAGTCAGGTCCTTGTATGTTCCCGAAGAAGGTTAGAAGGAACATTGACCCTGATAGTGGCGCCCAACGAAGAAGAATAACCATGGCCGAGTTTCAAGAAGAACCTGTGCTGCCTGCAGAAACGGCTCAGAATCCAGAAATGCCAGCTGCCGCCCTGGAAGGATTTGGTTACATCGTCCAGACCATGCGCGCTTCGATGAAACCAGAAGCAACATTTAATGGAAACTCACCGGTAACCAGTTTTTTGGAAAAATTGGATGACCACTTCATGCTCTACCCCGTGCACGAGTTTCAAAAAGTTACCTTAGCTACCAGCGCTTTGAGGGGCCAAGCGCTTAACTGGTTCAAATGTATAGGCAGAAGTCTCTTGGGTCAAGCAGGAAGTCCCACATATACTTACGAGAATTTCAAGACTGCCCTACTAAAAGCCTTCCCTGTTGTAAGGGATCGTGCGAAATTAGAAACTGAACTTTTTAGTATATACCAACAAAGAATCGAAAATCTCTCAAGCTTTATTTTAAGAAAAATTCACGTCTTCAAGCTCTTGTATGGAAACCGTCCGGATCCTGAAATAATTCAAGTGATTTTGCCGAGGTTACTGCCCCAAGTGCAAGACTTTATTGAATTAAGAAATCCGACTACACTGGAAAAGTTATTTGAGCTAGCAATCCAGTTTGAAAGTAGAAGAACGGCGGACGTCGAAAGAAGACGCCAATATCAACAGCGAAACCAATTTGGTACGCCAAGACTACAGCAAACTCAAGCACACGGCTACGGAGGCAAAGCGAATCAGTGGGCAAGGAAACCCGAGCATTCAAAAACAGCCGGCGAACGTCGACAGTTCAATAGCAATCCAGGAAAAAAGTCTCAAGGCCAGGGGAAAAAGAAGGAAAGCACGGAAATGAAAAATAATTTAAACTAAAACGGATTTCTGCTGACGGGAGGGTGCGGAAATCCGAAGGCCACGAAAACCCCTCTTCCTACAAGTTAAATACAGTAATGGTGAAAAATTTGACTCTTCCGAAGATTGAAGTGTTGGTGAATAATATCCCAGCCACCGCACTCCTGGATACAGGCGCGCAGTGTTCCTGTGTGGCAGAAGATTTTTTAGGAAGTATTTTCGCAAATACCGCATATATAATTCGGATAATACGACAGTGTTAGCGGCGCAAGGAGAAAAATGTAAGTGCATAGGTAAAGTACCGTTGTATATCCGTATCAAGGACGAACAAGTAAAGGTGATGTTTTTTATAGTAAAGAATCTGCAAGCACATATAATCTTAGGAATAGATTTTCTTTCAGACGCACAAGCAACACTGGATTTTAATGAAGCGTCCCTTAAGCTGACAATGAAACCAGTTCGTACTGAAAAGGCTGAACCGCCGATGGTAAATCTTGACCACCTGCCTAATGACGAGCAAGGAAGAATCCGACAAGTGGTAAGTGAATTTGCTTCGTTATTTAGTGATATTCCAGGATTTACTCAGGTTACTAACCATAGTATTGACACCGGAGATGCAATGCCAGTTCGCCAAAAACCATACCGGTATGATAAGAATAAGGAAAAAATTATAGAATGGCATATTACCGATATGCTACGTAAAAAGATCATAACGCCCATCTCAAGTAGTTATGCTAGCCCGGTGGTTTTATGTAAGAAAAATAATGACTATCCTTTGACACATCCAAAAAGGTGGAGATTCGCTATTGATTACCGTAAATTAAACTCCATAACTAAATATCCGGTATATCCGTTACCGATCATTGAAGAAATTCTAAGGAACATAAAATCAACCAAATTTATGACGACTTTAGACTTAACGACTGGTTATTTTCAAATAGGGGTTAGGCCTGAGGACGTGCCTAAGACTGCTTTTATAACCAAGTCTGCTTTATAACCAAGCACTTATGCATTTTTGCGTATGCCGTTTGGCCTTTCAGGGGCCCCAGCAACATTTCAGCGATGCATGGACATTGTGTTAAGACCTGTTCTTGGAAAGTCCACATTTATCTATTTAGACGATATCAGTATTACTAGTGATAATCTCGACCAACATGTACAGGATTTAAGACAGGTGTTTTCTTTATTAAATGAGGCCGGTCTAAAAGTTAATGTCGAAAAGTGCAAATTTGCAGCCCCTGAATTAAAATATTTAGGTTACAAAATATCTCAAAAAGGAATCGAGACAGACGAATCAAAAATAATCGCTGTACAAAAATATCCGACTCCAAACACGGCAAAGAAGCTCTCTTCTTTTCTAGGACTTTGTTCATATTATAGGTCCTTTATAAAAGATTTTGCAGCTATCGCTGAGCCATTGTTAAAATTAAAAAGGAAAAAGGCAAGATTCTCGTGGACGGCCGAAGCCAATAGTGCTTTCGAAAAATTAAAACAAGCATTAACGCAAGCCCCTGTGTTGAAATTTCCTGAAAAGGATGAGAATTTAGAAATTTCAGCGGATGCTTCGGATTATGCGGTAGGAGCGGTACTTTCGCAAAATCAGCAGCCCGTGGCATTTTTTAGCCGAACTTTAAATCAAACACAAAGAAACTATTCCGCGACCGAGAGAGAGGCACTTGCAGTTCTGTTAGCAGTGCAAAAGTTCCGAGTCTATTTTGGAAAGGCGCCGATAACAGTGTACTCTGATCATGCGGCGGTAACTAGATTGTACTCAGGGAAAAAATTTATCCCCAAGGTTAATAAGATGGGCACTCAAGCTGCAAGAATATAATCTGGTAATCAAGCATACCCCCGGAAAGGAAAATATCGTAGCAGATGCCCTATCACGAAAAATTAGACGAACAGGGTAATACCGTAAAAGTTGGCAATGCTTACAGCGTGTACAATAAATTCCCGAGAAACTGTAATAACCGAACTGGGTAAGGATCCTGAGTTTGGAAGTAT